GGAAAGGAAAGGAAAGGAAAGGAAAGGAAAGGAAAGGAAAGGAAAGGAAAGGAAAGGAAAGGAAAGGAAAGGAAAGGAAAGGAAAGGAAAGGGTTGTTTTGTATCTCAGGCCTTGTTTCTTTCTCACAAGTTCCATCAGGCCGGGGTTGTGCCCTCCCACCTTGCTTAGTAAAAACCAGCACAGTAGATGCTGCTGGGCAAAGAAAATAAAAGTTGCAACAGACACAATACAGAGGTTGAGTCATTAGAGTGATTCATCAGTAAAGGAGACGTTTGTTGTAAAGGGCAAGGAGGACTTTTAAATTCTGGAAACTCCTCACCCTCTGTTTACTCAGAACAAGTAAGGGAAAGGACGGAGAGGAAAGAGGGGGAGGGAAGCAAAGTTCCACTTTCTTGAGAAAAACAAATTGAAAAAAAAAATAATTGTTTAACACAGAAAACATTTTCACAGGCTCTGCTGACACCTACATCGAATATACAAAGTGACTAAGTCACCAACACCCTCCTGAGGTTTGAAACACGCTGTTGTGAAAGATCAACCTGCACAGCCTGCACACACTGCCTGCAAAGCTAGCTGGGACCAAATGTAGCCCACAGAACTTAATCTCCCCTTTTATTTGAACATCTTTTGTACTTTGATCCTCTGAAAGGAACAGCGCCCTTCAACAGCGTTGTTCCCGGCACAAACAATTACTCCTGCTTTAAAAAAAAAAAAAAAAAAAAAAATAAAAAAAAAAAAATCAAATTGCTGAAAAAAATTAGGTGAAATGGAGAACGGGCTTCATGTATATTAAAATCTGGAGTTAAAATAAGAGAAGGAGGCAATTTCTTGTATGTATGTATGTATGAAGGCTATATATGTGTATCTAAAAAAAAATATACATATGCATACAAGTATATATGTGTGTACACATCTAAAAACATTTATATATGCATACAAATATATGTGTGTACACTTACATACACAGATCTCTCTTCCAAAGCCTAAAATAGGTATATACATACAAATGCTTATTATTTTATTTGTATTATATTATAAAAGAAGAGAAATTAAAAGATTCAGAAAAGAAGTCAACCCACAAGTTTCAGCTGAAGGTCAAAAAACCCTGAAGAGTGCTGAGAGCCAAAGGTCTTACTCATAAGGCTTCACAAATTTCACTTTATTTTCTTCCATTTCTCTTACCTTCTCTGTTCCTTCCACTGTTTTCCTGTGCTGTTCTTTCCACCTTCCCAGCCTGCTGTGCCTGCTCAGTTGGGAAACTCATGGCAGGTTGTTCAGTGGGGTTTGTTGATCTTTAGAAACTGCTCACACCACAGGCTGCACAAACATAAAAACCACTCTAGTGATAGTGGCACACTGGTGATAAACTCCCCAGCCTCCACTGCAGCCTTTCCCTATGGGAAATTCAGTGGGGAACCATCTCAGCCCTGTGCCCAAACCCCCTTTCCATTGCAGCTGCTGATGCTGGGCAATTCTGCAAGGCTGCCAGGGCAGGAGGAGGGCAAAGAGCCCCCAAGGGCAGAGCTCAGCCACTCACTCTGGCAGACCTGAGCTCTACTTTACCAAAGAAAACCAATTTAGAACTCTTTAACCATAAGAGCATCTCTATTTGCAATATTGCCCATATTGCAGTGTTACAGCAGCTTAAATAATACAATATTTCTGAATTTTCCCTGACCTTCTTGCACATGGTCAGCTTCTTATTTCTTTCTCCCAACTTGAATTTTACTGCCATAGTTGCTCACAGTACAATTGAAACTGTTGTTTTTTTTTAAAAAAAATACAGCCAAACAAAAAAATCAACCATATGGCTTTTATATTAAAAAAAAAAAAAAAGTTTGTGGGTGTATATATAATTTTTAAACCAACTGAACAGCATTCCTTATATGAAATTCAGGATATAAAGCATCTGCTTAGATAGCTAATTTGGCTGCATGCTCAGGCTGCCTGTGCATGTCAGCAAAGCATTCATTACTGTTTTCATTACAACTTTACCTGCAGCATGAAAGCCAACAATAATTTACTTAACTTTTCACATAAATAATGCAAAGGGATGGCTTCCCTGCAAGAAAACACATTTCTACAAACTGCTGGGTGGGAATGAAGCTCACAGCAGCTCTCCACCACAATTGGATGGGCCCATGAAGGAGTGGCTGCCAAAGGGATCCTTGCAGAGCTGGGAATGCAGCTTCACCTGCCACCCCAAAATTCCTTCCCCACCAATGGGACACACTCACACACACACAGAGGATTCTTAAATAGCAGCTGCTCTCTGCTGGGTCAGGCCCTGTGCTGCTTTAATAATGATGGTTTGGGATGCATGAAGCAGGAGGGCAGCAAGGAGGACCCTGTTCATTGTCTGTCTGGAATTTAACAGCTGAGGTGGGGCTGGGCAGGACACTCACACCGTTGTTGGATCCCAGAAATTTGGAATTTTGGAGCTTTCTGTGCTCCCAGGCACAGACCCCCCCTGGAAAACACTGCTCTGGAGCTGGAACCTTGGAGAAGGCTTGGAAATATGAATAATGAGTTAGGAAATATGAATAATGAGTTAGTAAATATGAATGATAAGTTAGTAAATATGAATGGTGAGTTAGAAATCACCAATGTGCAGTGGGTCAGATGTGTGTGTTTGCACTGGGTGATGGATTTTTAAATTTGAGGTTTTTATGTATAGTAGTAGTTAGGGGACAGGATGGAGAATTTTGGGTGGTGTCTTTTCCTTTGTTCATCTTCTTCTTCCTCACAGAACTCAGGCAGTGACCTTTGGTTGGTCAGTCAGTGTCACTCTAAAGGTGGTGGGAATCTATTATTGGGTCAAAAGGATAAATAATGTAGGTATTAAACTTTTATTGGTGTGTTTAGCTTTAAAAGGCCTTGAAGCAGCCTCAGCTGTGACCATTTTCCCACTTCTAGCCAGGAGCTGGAGGTGCTGTCACACTTTCTGTAATTTCTGATAAAATACAATCAACATCCAAGCCCAAACACGAGAATTATCTCGATCACCTTTCCATTAATCCTGGCTCTGAGGGCAAACAGAGACTGATGACAAAGCACCAACGAGGGCTGCAAAGGCCAGCACACTCCCCCTCACACCGTGGCACTTGTGCAGTGATGGACAAGCACACCAAATTCACTCAGCCCACTGCAGCACACAAATCCCCTGGGTCTGTGCCCTGCCCTGAGCTCCTCTCAGCAATGGATGTAGGACAGGGATCACAGGGCTTCGTGTCACAGGTGAGCTGCTGCACCTGCACACCTGGGGAGGACAGGACGAGGAAAGGAAGGGCAGGTACCCGGGGGAAGAGAGAGGAGGGGGAGTTGATATCAGTGCATGATGGGCTCTACAGCTGGATGGGGGCTGCCAGCTCACAGGCAGATCATCTGGCAAGCACTGGCTTAGGAAAAGAAGAGACAAAAGCAAGAGAACTTCTACTCATCTGCACCCAGTCAAGAGCCCTTGAAAAACCCTCATTCCAAGACTCCACAGTGTGCACAGTCAGTAATTCCTGGTGCTTTTGGGTGGGGGGAATTACTGTAAAAAAAATAAACAGTAACATCCAGTGGTGCCTAAAGAGAACAGAGGCCAGGCAGTGTTAAAAGAATAAATTAGGGATTTGTTATTTATTAAAAGGCACCACCATGGCCTATAAGATGCCAAAATCTGCTGCACCGAGTCCATGAAGATGGGCAGGAAGAGCCACAGTCCCCACCACAGTTACTGGGCAGGTCAGGAAGCTCTGGGGGCATTCCCTGCATTCAGAGGTGATGTCTCAGCACCCCTGCCCTACCAGCCTGTGCTCAGCTCGTTTCACCTCCTTTGTTGGTCATGCAAAAGAAAAAAGCTCAGTTTAGAGGGAGCTTTAGGCTGGGGGTGGTGACCCTGCAGTGAAGAACTGCATCACAAGCAGCTCAAAAATGTCCCAAGGAAATGCTGAGCTCACCAGACCCCCTCTGACCCCAAGAACAGGAATATTGCACTGCTCCTTCCAGCCCTGCACCTGGTCAAACGTGGGCTGTGCCAAACAGCAAAACAAAACTCACTGCCATTGCAGGTGTCATTAAATGGGCTGCTCGGGTGGTTTTGGGGAGGAGGGGATGGAAATTTCAGAATATGAAATGAGCTGTATGACCCCATAGCTTGGGAGCTGAAGAAAAAAACAAAATCCAAGGAAAAAAAACAAAAAAACCCAAACCAAAAAACCCCAAACAACAACAACAACCCCCCACACATACAAAAAAAAACCAAAAACCAAAAACCAAAAAACCAAAAAACAAAAAAACAAAAAAAAACCAAAAAAACAAAAAAACCCAAACAAACAAACAAAAAAAAACAAAAAAAAACCCCAAAACCCTAAAACAAACAAACAAAAAAACCCAAAAAACCCCAAAGGAAAAAAAAAAAAACCCCAAAAAACACGAAGAAAAAAAGGAAAAAAAAAAAAAAAAAAGAAGAAACCCGAGGACATTGAGGAGTCACCTCAGAAGGCTGTGTCAGACCTCCAGGACATGATCTAAAATAAGATATCTGTTGTTCCACAGCAGCATGCCCTTCCTCTGAGCTATAATGTCACAGCAGGTCACTGAAATTTGAGACTCTGAGCATGATTTATCTTGATCCTCAACCAAACCTCTCATCCAAAGGGCTCCTTGAACATCTGCACTTCCTTGTGACTGCCTCAATGAACCATGGCAAGGTCAGGGAAAATCCAGAAAATCCAGACAGTGCTGGAGCCCACTCACAGTAGCACACTCAGAATTCACAGCTGCAATAGCTCTCTCATTCTTCACTTTTTGATCTACTTTTACATCCCTGATCCAAATGGAGTTCTGCAAACTTCAACTATGAAGAAGCCTATTGTAACCACGAAAAGCTTTTCTTAGATGTAAATGTGCATGCAAAATAGAAGGAGCTTTGATACTGAGATTTTTTTTTTCCCCCCCTTGAGGTTCAAGTATTTTATCATTTTAATAAAATTCCATTTTCCTGTTGCACTCATGTTTTAGAACATCTTTTGTATTAGCTCCGAGTATTAGAATTCCTTCAAAATTCCTCTGGAGGGCACCATTACCATAAGTATACAATTAGCTACAGCGGGATGTAATAGAGATGAACACGAAAGATTTTTGTTGGCAGGAGGCTGTGTCTGTTAACCCTGACAGCTTCTTTACTCTTTACTGCTGCCTGGGTTGGTGCTCTGCTTTAGGGAGCTCAGTTACAAAGAAGGAGAGAATTTAGAAATTGGCATTGGAGAAGTTTGTTTTGCCAAAAGGTGATGTGGATTTTTTAAATATTTTTTTTCCCCCCTATCATTATCTTTGTTAGCAAGTACTAGAATTTGATATAATCACTCAAAGGATTCGTAGAAGTGAATATTTTAGAAAGATTTCCTAAGACACGGGATGGTTTGTGCTGTTTGGGGAGGGTGGAGGAGCCGATTCTCTCGTGGGCTCTCCTGTTCCTGTGGCACAGGGCAGAGCCAAGGCCATCCCTTATTCCTGCAGGATTTACAAAAGCCAGCACACCATAAAGCAAGGCAAGGAGGACAGTCTGGAGCCAGCAAAGAGATTTGGACACTCCAGGGTTTCTCAGAAACAAATCAGAAGTGAACCCCGCAGCTCACAGGAAAACTTTTTTGAAGCAGGAATAAACTCCTGAAATCTTGGGGAAAAAAATGAACGTGTGTGTCAGACACAGCTGCCCTCTCGTGATCACCGAGCAGACTGCAGAGCATTTCATCTCAGTGCCAGAGATTCCTGAAACCATCTGCAATCCCCCAGCAGTTTTGGGTTCCCCCAGCACTTTTGGGTTCTTTTTGGGGGATTTGCTTGTGTGGGATTATCCTCTCCTGCATTTTCTGGGAAGCATCACAGTTATAGAGAGAAAAAATATTTCCTTAACTTTGATTTTACTCCTTCCTCTTGTTCCTTTTTCTTTTATGACTTGCACAGGTAGTTGGTTCATCTATTGCCCAGTTAGAATAGAAATTATTTGAGAGGGTGAAATACTTGTGTGAGAGTTATGAGGGTCTTGAGATATTGTAGCACGTAGGAAAAAAATAATCTGATACACTGTGGTTTTAATTAGGCCATCAAACAAAGAAAAGAAGGAAGGGAGTATTTCAGTTCTGGCAGGAATTATGTACAATAATCTACTGTTACTGAGAAAGGATCAGTGCAATAAAAAATACCAACAGAATAAAAAC